GGTCAAGTTGATGGTCCTAGGCTTTATCATCAAAGTATATTACATTTTTGCTCTAAAACACTGGAGATATTATCCAATGTGCATGTAATCTTTGCCAGATGAATCCATGCAAGAGGTCTGAGTTCATCCAGAGCTCTCTCTAGATGGCAAGCCTAAGAACATCCTAAGTTAAAAACAATCGCTAAGACTTCTCACAGCTATCCTGCTTGCTCACTCAGCTTCCCTTGTTTAGCATGTATCCATGTTTAGCAAGATCTGCCCTGAAATAAAACCCTACTAAAACCACCATTACATCCCAAGAGGATTTTTTTTTCTATCAGCAGATGAAGGGAAGGAAGAACCACACAGTGCATATTAATCATATTGATTAATTAATCAATATTAATCATATGTTCCTCAAGGAACATATTATATGTTGTGCCAGACAGCAGAATATTGAGTAAATATTATGTATACATTAGTCGTATAGCCCAAACACTATTTCAAGCAATAGGTATACTATGATAATTAAAATAATACAATGAAACTAGGAAGAAAACTTTTCCATGAGACTGGAAAAACAAAATCATGAGGACAAGAAAAGGTAATTTCTCACTGCTGACAATACGAAGTGCCTAAGAAGTGATTCTAATGTGATCTCTGGTTTGAGGTAAGAGTAGTAGGTTATTTATTCTGACGGGGTTTTTTTAACCTTTCCTGAATGTATTGATTTTTAGTGTATTTCAGTGGTGTACAGTGGTGAGTAAGATGAATCCTCAAAAGAGTCTAGCGTAGAGCAGCAAAGATGATTAAGGGACTGGAGCATCTATCGTATGAGTAAAGGATAAGATTGAGAGGGAATCTGATCAATATGTACAAATACCCGAAAGGAGAATGTAATGAGGATCTTTACACTCTTCTCAGTGGTGGCTAGTGACAGGACAAGGGATAATGGGTACAAGTTAAAACACAGGAAGTTCCATCTCTGTATGAGGAAGCACTTCTTTCCTGTGAGGGTGACAGTGCCCTGGAACAGGCTGCCCAGAGAGGTTGTGGAGTCTACTTCTCTGGAGATCTTCAAAACCAGCCTGGATGCCACCCTGTGCCACATGCTCTGGGTGTCCCTGATTGAGGGGGGGAGGTTGACTAGATGATCTCTAGCGGTCCTTTCCAACCTCACTATACTGTGATTCTGTGAAGAGTCACTTTTTGGGTTCTTCTTATTGATTTAGGTCAGTGAGTAGTTTGTGGTGCCAACTTCAGAAGGCCTACTCCGTGGCAAAAACCCCAAAACAACACACCTCAGATTTAAGTATTTCTTGTATTAATGGAATTATTTTTGCTTTTTAATGCCAGGTATAATTTCACCTGAAATAAACTGAATACTTTTTTTTTCCATGAAGTCAGAAGTCATCTGTGCATCCCAGAATAAAATCAGTTGAACTCTATCCCAAGCCCATATGCTATTCTGCATAAATTCCCTTAGCATTTGTTTTGTTTTTCCTCTCATATAATGCTGCCATAACGCAGACTCGTGTGAAAAACAAAGAAGACAGACAAGAAAAAGCGGAGGTGAGAGGGTTTTCCTGCAAAAACAGCTCTTGGAAAAGCTGGGCAGATCATGCAGGTGCCTACTGCCCAGGCTCTGCTAACAATGGGACTGGTCTGCAAGAGAAGCATGAAGCCCCCTTGGGAAACCCTGTGTTTCCTCTAACACCCAATGTCTCCAGCACACTCCTGTGTAGCAAAAGGAACTTGTGTGGAGAAGAGCATCACCTCCGGACCACACAACTGCCAGCAGGAAATCCCTTCTGCAGTGAGCAGTGGGCAGGCTGTGCGAGGAAGTGAAAGCTGGACCACAGCATGCTTTACCCTCTCCGCAGTTTTGGGATCCATGAACAAGCACGAGGAAAGCAGTCTTAGGGAACTGGAGGTGCAACCTAGTGCACTTTCCCAGGACCACATACACCAGGTGGCCTTATGCTTACCCAGCAACCTGGTCCTCCCAAAGCTGTCTCTGCACAGATAAGCACCAAAGGGCCCAGTAGTGTTAGTCTTGCCCTGTGTAGGCAAAAGGTGTCTCCTGGAAGCCACGCAAAGCCTCGGTGTTTGCATTGAGTTTTGGATGAACTGGGGAGAGCACATGTACCCCTTTCTTCCCACAATCCATTTTTAACCCTCTCCATCCAAGACAGTCTTTAGCCCAGCAGCATCCCCAGGAGCCAAGGCCATAGTGCTGCAGTCAATGCAGCAACGCCAGGAGGAGGATCTCCACCATCCCAGACTGCAGGGCTCACCCACATGCCTCAGGCACTGTCACCAAGTACCTGTTCCAACCACAGGTGAGGCTCCCTTTCCTTGCAGGCACACAGGTGGGAAGGAGTTTTGAAATTAAACTCTCAGCTAAGCTTTCCTGAGGTCTGTTGAACTGATCCTTCATAGGGTTTCAGCATCCACTATTAGCCTATGTTTTCTGTGCCTCTGCTCTCAGCTGGGACAGTGCTCAGCTTTGGATAGTGCTGAAATGGAAAGAAAACAGTTTTCAGGTAATATAAAGTTCTTATTTGTGTTCACTCCATGAGGACCATTTTTCAGTATAAGATTATATGAAGACAAGAAAAAAGTGGCAGTATCAGGCCAGTTAGAGCCTTTGTAGAGTCATCTAATCTCTGTAAGCATGTAGTTAAAAGTCAAAGGTCACTTTACTTACTCTGTTGATCAACTGATTCAGGTCAATTCTCCCTGTGACAGCAAAGTGCAAACATCAGCAAATGTCATTTTATTATTATAAATTGACTAATAACCATGAAACTCACAGTGAAAAATAAAAAAGCACAGCAGGGCACTAGTTTCCCACAGTGTCGATTTAAACTAAACTGAAAAACAAAAACAAATAGTTCCAAACCCATCCTATCATCTGCATAGTTTTTTATTTGTTTGTTTAATTTAGATATATTATATTACACTTTGACACGCATTTTGTGCCATGTTTGGTTATGTGAATATCAGATGTGCAAGGGGAAACATGTTTTACCAAGTTGGACATATTTATGCATATGCATACACGTATAGGTAAATGTGTGTTCATATGCATCTTGCTACAACTGCAGCAGGAGCACTCTTGGACTCTATTTCTGCTGCTTCTTTGAATGGAGGGAAACTGGCACACTCCACAGCAAATGAATCTGCCAGTTATAATACTTGTCTTTTCTGAAGCACTGTAAAGCAGTTATTAATGTCAGTGAAACAATTTGAGAACCATAGATTCAGCTTCAAGAATCTGTACTGCCTTAGAGGGGCAACAGAAGGTTTGGGCTTGTTTTAATCTGAGATTGCTTTGAGAAATGATATGGACATCTGTGAGATCTCTAAGAAGGATTATTATGGTGGACTACTGACTGAGTCTGAAGCATGTCTTGTTTTATTTTCTCCTCTCTTCCCTGCACCCTTGTCTGTATACACAGGCGCTAATGCATCTGCTCCTGACCAGCTGAGCCTAGCGTTAGCCTGGAACAGAGTAGACATCGCCCGCAGTCAGATCTTTATTTATGGGCAACAGTGGCCGGTACAGTATATACACAGCATCTTCTGCTGAAAACTTCACGCAACGTTAAATGCTTTTTTGTTTTTTTGGTGGTGGTGGTTTTGAACCAATTTTGTGAGGGCTTAAAATATACTGAGTCATGTTCTTAGTCCCACACAGAATTCCCATTCACAGCCACCAAAGGCAGACGTGGCTCCAAACATGCTGAAATGTCCCCTTGCTCAAGGAAATGGTGACATCTAGCGATGCCTTAGAGCTGAAAGACCATATTTTCAGAAAGATAGGAAATAGCACACCAAGAAATTTTTTTAAAAAGTCATTTTAATCACTGGGAAAAATAAGTGTCTGTACCAAGTCATGATAAAATAAGTAAAGGTTATAAATGCAAGGAAAGGTGAAGCTTACTTCAGCTATATGTGTTAAAAATGCAGGAGGACTCCCTCCACTGGCAGACTGTTAGGATACACTGAACACACATAATGAACCCTGTGTGGGGCTGTGGGGCAGCAGCCCCATGCCACAGCCCCCTCTCATGCTGCAGTTTTTTAACTAGGAGCAAGTTACCCAGCAGGACCAAAGAGATCTATCCTGCACAGACCTTTGAAGCCTCCCACACCTTCATTCACAGGGTTTTGTTGGGTCACCATTCTCATACATGCTATGTCCTTTTCACAAAAAGTCATATGCTAGCTCCATCATTATATGAGTGTTTACATCTCCCCAAGGAAGAGATGCAGCATAGGAAAATTCCTGTATTTAAATATATTTATTTTAAATGTTGTTTCTGGAGCTTGCTGCCCCTAAAATTTAGGTTTTTAAAAGGTCTATGTCTTTTCAGCTATAGAATGTACCTGACTATTTCTGACGCATTCAGTAGTAGGAACAGGCATGTAGCAACACGCAGCAGCAGTTATTTAGATGGTACTAAACTGCTATCACTCTATCACCACGTCATAGTGACAATTTTTGTAAATACTGTAGTGTACAATCATTTTGCAAGCTAAATGCCGTTTGGGAAACTTTCGCTTTCCTAACTTCCCAATTTTTCTTGAGTTTCAGTACTGTAAACTAAGGGGAAACCTCATAAGTCTTGGGTTAAAGTCAGTGTGTGCATATGTGATAAATATATCCAAAATAAATAGAATGTTTGTCTGGAAAGCAAGAATTAAAGATAATAAACAGATGCTGAATAGAATAGAGTTCTAGCTAAGAGGTCTAGTCTAGATGTCACCAGTTTCCTAGTTTTCAGTTCCCTGGTGCTAACCGGGATTTCCTAGAGTATGCTAATTTTAACACTAACACTAATTTTTCTGTGAATCAGAGAAACCAAAACAGACTAAATCTGTGATTATCCCATTTGAAGCAAAGCAATACCCAGGATTCTGACAGGAGCCCCTACCTGTGCCAGGGTGACAGAATCAGCTGGAAAGAGCCCTGAGTACCCAGGAATAGCCTGAATTAATCGCTTGCTTTGCAGGTGGGCTCCCTTGAGCAAGCAATGCTGGATGCACTGGTGCTGGACAGAGTGGATTTTGTGAAATTACTCATAGAGAATGGAGTAAGCATGCATCGTTTTCTCACCATCTCCCGGCTAGAGGAGTTGTACAATACGGTAGGGCCAACCTAAGGCAAATTTTCTATTTCTGTATTCATTGTTTTAGCTTCCACCCATATTATAATGACATGATGATGCACAAAGAAGCCAACATCTGCTAGGGAAATTTTCCATATCAGAAGTCCACATCGTCTGTTAGCTTTGTGTCTTCTGTTATGGAGGTTTCTGTGACTCACCCACTTAATCTCCCTATATGTAATTAGTGGTGCATAAATTAAAACCCACATACAGCCGGCTGATTTCTGCTCATTGTAAGATAAGATAGACTGAGATGTAGGCAGACTGCACTGACTGGAAGACAGTAACCAGCAAGTTAGTACCTTTAATTATAGTCAGATATAACTCCTGTGACTCCATGATTTCAGGAAAAAATAAATTGTTAAACAAACTCAGATAACAGAAAACAAAGAAAAACAACCTTATGGGGAAGACAGCCTGGTTTTAAAGGTAAAATCTGGTAACTTCAGGAGGCCTGAGTAACAGTAGAGTAAAGGACCTCCCTGTGTTTTCACAGAATATTCAAAAAATATATAGTTCTGACTTTTAAAATATTGTTTGTGAGTTTTTTTTCTTCATCCTTAAAGCAGACATAAAACTGTACAGGTCCAAAATGCTTCTCAGCTCTCCACACCAACTTTTATATCATAATTGCCTAAGAGGAGAAAGCAAGAAGTCAGAATTGCTTGAGTGGTATAGAAAAAGTATTCAAGAACCATCTAGCTCTTAATGTCTGCCTGTTGGAAATTGATCGTGAGCACAAGGCTTTTCAAAATAGCCGATACCTTTCAAAGCACTGCGATCATTATCTACCACACTGAGGGCTGTTATCCAGAAACGTTCCTACTACTGGTGACCAGAAATCAGTCTTTCAAAAATAATGAATGCAAGAAGAATTTTTTAGATTTGTGCAAAATGCAGAGGAACTGTTACCTATTCTAACCTAGAGCAAGAGCTTCCCATCTGTTGATTGGCTTGAACATTTCCTGCCTATACCAGCATATATATATTTAGAAAAGAAAGCCTAGGAGTTTTCCCACTACGGAGGTAAGCAGTGTCATTCTTGTACTAAAGCCATTTTTACATGGAAAAAGTTGGAAGAAGGTCTTCAGCTCTACAGATAAAAGAAAACATTTTAGAAGAAATTTATTATGTGAACTTCAGAAATCTTTGGAAATTATTCATGCAGTAATTCAAAAATACCTTGTCTGTGAAATTCCTAAACTACCAATGCTGCTATATGACATACTTCAACCATAGTAGCATTTGTATTAAGGAATAAAAAGCTAAATAAAAAATGGCAAATTTAAAATGAGCCCTGAGAGTGCCAGGAAAACTATAGACCAGAATGAGTGATGCTTATAGCAAATCATAGCGAATCTGCCATAGCGAATTTGTAAAAATACAGTAAAGAACAGAATTAATGAATACAGGAACCCATCTTATGTCAACAGGAAAAAAATGACCTATCTTTTATAGAGAGATGATAAGTCTTAGAAATCTATTACTATCTTTGAAGTCAACATGCAAGAGAATAAGGATGATACGCTTGATACACCTGGGTTTTCAAAACCTTTTGGCAATGTTAATCCTTAGAGGCTTATAAATAAATTAGGCTTCTCGTGCTGTAGAAGGTAAGGATTTTGTGGATTAAATACTCCTTGAAGGATAGGAAAAGGTGGGTAGAAATAAATGCTCAGTTATCAACATAAGTGAAGCTTACTGTCAGATTCGCCCATGTATCTGTACTGAGACGAATGTAGTCCAGTCTGTTTAGCGATGAGCTGAAAAGTAGTGACTTGACAGAGAGTGGCAAAGGCATCTCAGGGTGATGCAGGGCCATTCAACATAGACAGATTTGAAGCTGCATGTGAAGAACTGCAGGAAAGTCTAGTCACCTAGTGAGAGGCACACATTAAGTTAAACACTGATAACTGCAGCATATGCTAGGAAATGTAGGAAAATGGACTCTGTGCATCTTCAGTGATGTTCACATAACTATCATCAATCACAGCAAAGGAGCCTCCTATAAAAGTCTCTGAAATTATCAGTCAAAACAGTAACCAAAAATGAAGTAGTTTCCACATACCATGTAAATAAAATGGGGTGAGTCATTACCATCATCTGATTTGCATGTCAGATAGGATTCAGAAATACTGTGTGAACTCACAGACTGTACATGTCACTAGCAGCCCTCATCCCAAGTGTGCCTCTGCTGCAGGAGCTCTGCTGCTGCGAGACACCAGGAGACCAGGGATGAGGGCACAGGAAGGCTGCATCTCTCCTGCTGCTTCCTCCTCAGCCCCATCCCAGTCTCTGCACCTCATTCTGCTCCATGTCGGTTCTTGTGGTTTTGTTACAGAGGTACTTTGACAAAAAAAAGGGGGGGGCGGGGATGAGGTGAGGTGGTGAAGGGGTGAAATAATACTCCTATAATTGATTTTAAAATAATTGATAACATAACAGAAGTGCTCTCAGTTGCTTTGATATTTAAAATTCTAAGGTGAGCAAATCATGCCAACATTTGCATCTTACACAGTCTTTGGGTAGTGCAAAACTATTTTATTATTCTTCATCTGTCTTTTCAGAGGCACGGACCATCCAACACTTTGTATCATCTAGTCAGGGATGTCAAAAAGGTAAGAGTTCAGTAGACGGTAGGTTTGAGAGAATGTCATGGTTGCTTTTTGGTAGCTAGATACAGTTTCTGTTTTGCATGAGCTTTCAGTCAGAGCCTTCTGCTTCCCTGCCACATCAGAATGCTCTGTTTGAATGTTCTGAATATGAAGTTTTGGCATATAATGCACAAACAGCAAGTTACTTGGTTTGCTTTGTCCATGGTTTTAGATGCTTCAATTTTAGTGCTTCTGCTGGTGGAATTGTAGGCTTTATGTACCATGTGGATTTATGCTGTTATCTGTACTTTTCCATACCTGCAGCTAACCTCAGAGCTAATTTCCATGTTGTGAATTAACTCCTGAGTTTGTGAATATCTGTTTTCTTTGTGCTATATTGAAGCATTCATTGAAATGGTTCCTCATTCTGTGTTGTGTAGCACATTGTTAGCATTTCCTTCTGCAGAAGCATCCTAAAGTAGTGCAGCTTTCCTCTGCTCCCTTGTCAAGTTCTTTTCAAGCATCTTGAATCCTTAAGACCCAGGAGGAGGGTAGGAAAGAAATACACAAATATACAGTGGCAGGAAGGAGACATCAAATACTCTAAGTAGGGTTCAGTATTAAATGTGTTACAACAGCAGCAACAAATGAAAATCTCTTATGTTGTAAATATGTGGGTCAAGGAAGGAGACTGAGTCTGCAGCTGACCTCATCTGTCCATGACATCTGGGCAGAGCTAAAGGGATACAGGAGAGGGGAATAGCTATACCATCTTTCTGTGAAATAATCCTATAGAATAACAAGTAGCAATGTTTAGGAACTTCTGATATTTTTGTTTCTGTTTAGTGTGTTACATGGTATCATCATTGTTCACTTATATGTAATCTAGTAAGTGACTATGAGAAAGCTTGAAATGTCTACAGAAGAATATGAAACTGTTCTTATGCATAAATACCCTTGTATGGAGCAGAAAAAAGTTAGAGTGCATTTTGGCTGTCTGCTGTTCTTGAAGTGCAAGTTAATTTTTTTTTATTAATGTGCAGTTATTTATGTGCCTTTAAATGTTTGAAACAAATATCATCTGTCTTCTTATACGAAAACAGACTCCATTTTACATTCTTCTCTCCCCTTGTATCACCTTTCTCACATCCTCTTTAGAAAGCCAAGCAATTTATATATTGACTTGGTATATAATAACTATGAATTGTCAAAGAATCCCAAATAAGAGGTTTTTTTTAAGGAGCATTTGAAAAGAAGTCATGAGAACAAGCAAAACAAGAATCATTATTTCAAGATGTACATTGACATAAGTTGGCATTAAATATATTTACGTTTATATTTAATGATGTTATTTATTCATGGGGGTTGTTAAGCTTTGGCTGATGGTGAATTTTCCTTAAATGTTACTTTCTTTCCTCTCCCCACGTGTCTCAGTCTCAGTACCTTGCACAATGTGAAGTGCGTGTGTACTCTTACCAGGATAGAGTTGAAAATAAACATGTCAGGGCCACCCTTCGCCACCTTCATCTGAAACTGCATCACTGTGATGGTATTTCTCATTTTATCAGTGATGAGGAACACCCACGAGTCCCGGGAGAAAACTGGCAGCTTGCCATAGACCTGCCAGGCAAACCACCACAGCTCTCACCTGTCAGACAGGCCATAAATCAACCAGCAAACCTGACACCAGTTTAAACGAAAACCTCTCCGTGGAAATAACTTCTTAATGCACAGAATTATTTGACAGCCTAAGTGCCTCACCATGCATAAAAACCAGAACTCAATGCTGAGGCAAGTTTTTGAGTTTATATACATTTTGAAGCCGGTTACCTAAATCTGAGATTTAATTACAGGATCATTAAGCATAAACAGAAAAAGTGTAGGATGACACCTAAAGACAACACCTAGAGGACATGCATATTCTGCACTTTCTGTGCATGCATCCTAATTTTAAAATCTGCACTATGCAAAGGAGTGCATGCTTTAAAAACTTATTTATTTTCTTAGTCACTGTGAATTCTGAAAAAAAATATTCTTACAAATCATACATTATTTAATTTACTGCTATTGTACTGCCATATGACCTACGTCTGTAAGTCTCTGGGAGGTTTCCTCTTTCTCTGAAAGATTATCCTGACTCCTTGGCATAACAGAGGACTTGTGCTACAGGAAGGAAGTCACCCTGCCACCGTCCTGCCTGTGGCAACTTAAACACACACACATCACCCACACTCCAGACAATAACTCAGTTTCTTCTTTGCTTATGGTTAGCTCCAGGAAACAAATTATAAAAGAATGGAGAAGTGAGCTGAAAGACTTTGCACTGATCAGAGGCTTAAATTCTGTTTGTATCGATTAACCAGGCAAATTGCTCAACTCTGCCGTAGAGAATTGTGTTCATCTCATTTTCTGCTGCTCCCAGTTTGGTAACTGCATCTGGGGCCAAGCCCACCTGCATCATTTGCACATCTGGTAGCTTCGTTTAGATACAGTGTTTCCCATAACGAGTGCAGAATTTACCCCCTTGGTGCACAAACCGATGCATTCAGAACAAGAGCTAAGCAGCAGCTGCTGTGCCTGATTTTTTTTTTTTTTTTTTTTTTTTTTTTTGTAAGTGGAGGTTGCCCTCTACTGGTTATGTCAAAAAAATTTTTTTTTTTTCCTCTACTGAACTAGTTACTGAACAACAGTGGAAATTGAGTGATGGTTTTCTTTTTTCATTCCAAAAATGGATATGTGATGAGTGTGACTTAATTCACTCTTGGGTCATATATGTTTGAAAAGTTCATTGATCTGGTCTGCCTCTGGATTTCTACATTTCCAGATAACAAGTGGGTACTATATCGCTGTTCTGAATTTTTTATTACTATTTATTCATCAGAACACAAAAGTAGAGGTTCTTTATGTATTGAATATAAAAACATATATGAAGTGAAAATGTATTATAGCTGAATAGTTGCAACTTAAGAAATGACAGTTACTGCGGAAAAATAATAATGGATAACTGGGTAACTGGAAAGTTATCTCAGCATTGATAGGTTAATTGATTACGAATCAGGGTACTGAGTCTATGCCCAAATCTTCTCCTCTCTCCTTCCTGACATGCCTGGCTCTGCTTGAAATAGCCCGTTCAATTTTTTGCGGTTCTTGGAGGTGACTCAACATTGCTGGGGTAGTTCAGCATGTCTGCTCATAAAGAAAACACTTCAGCATGAGCACAGCTCTCTTCGCAAGGATGGTCCAAGGCTCTATTATGGCCCCCTTAGGAAAGTAACTGCAAGTTTGTTAGCAGCTCAGAAACAGATGTACGACAGTATAAGATGTGTATTAATGATGTGCTTTTTTGAGTTTTCTTCAGTGAAGCATTAACAACTATATCAAGAAAATCAAATTTCCCCATATATACCTGTTGCCTGCTATGCTTTTTTAATTGCTTGGATATTTCTTTGTCAATCAGTAACTTCAAAGCATCCAGTTTTAGTGTCTAATATTATTCCTGAGACAGCAGAAGTTTGCTGAAGAAATGCAACTGCAGCTAAGTCGTTCCCACCATTGCCAGTGCTTTCCTCATGGTTCTAATAAAATTTTTATTGCCTTCACCATTCTGGAGAGAGAAGAACATTTCTGGGCAAAACAGAAAAAAAATAAAAAATAAATAAAAAGCAGAGTTTATTTTTGGTTTATGATTTTTCTTTAAAGAATTCAAACTACAAATGACTGGATACAAATAAGCTGATATGGTTTGCAGGATGATTCCATCCATCAGCTTGGTGAAGAGTAGGAAGGGTGCAAAGGTGCAAGGTGCACCATTGAAAGGTGGTGAGAGCCACCCCTTGGGCTTGTTATTGATCCCATCACCTCAAACCCCATCTCATGGGCAGGGACAGCACGTCGCACCCTCACCAGCCCTCCCGCTCCGTGGCGAGCAGAGACGGAAATAGCCTTTGCTGTTCGCAGCTGAAGGAAGAGAGGAAGGAGGATCTTTGCATCTCCTCTGTGGCTGCGCAAGGGCCAGGTGCCATCTGTTCCCCATTAGTGCATCTCTGCTCTGAATCTAATCAGCACATCTGCAGAGAAGCCAGGCAGACGCACGGATATTTCCAGTGAGACGCGGCAGTCATAAAAACTGTGCTATGTGAATTATTAACCTTCTTTTGATGATCACATAAAGAGAGCTACAGGCTAACTGTAATCTGTGTTGTATATCATTATAGCAAATGTGATTATTTTATTAGAGTGCATGGAATAAGTTTGAAGCTAGAAATTGCAATTTCCTGGCCCTTCTACAATGTTGACCATACAAGTTGATTTTTTACTAGACTAATTTTCTCTTTTTCTAAGCAACCACTCACGGTTCATGGAAGGAAAATTTACCTCTTTTTCCATCTTCCATGCACGGTCACATCTCTTGCACACTGACATACAGGACAGAGTCATAAATTTGGTGGTGTTCTTAATGAGATCTCTAGATGTGGGAAACCTATTCCTGACTTGCTGAAGCCTCCCCTCTTTCCTGTGGGGGAGCTGCTCACTGAACAGGGTTGAAAAACACGGAGGCAGTGATATGAAGAGGAGGACAAGTTTTAGATTTTGGGCAATTCTTTTCTTTTAGCCCTTTCCTCCTGCAAAGGAACAGCATATTGCCCTTGCAGGCAATATTGCAGAACTTATAACCTCAGTGGTGCCACTTCTAGGCTTGACAGCAAAGGGAAGGAAGAAATGTGTAAGGGACTAGATGAGAAATGAAAGCTGCATGACGAAGAGCTTGGGAAATCGTAGTATATTTTAGCAGAGAATAAGAAAGGAAAAGAAATGGAAGATCAAGGTTACAGAAGTTTTTTCCAAGATCCTGCTAACTACCCCACCACAAATACAGTTCACCTTGCTGTAAATGGGACAATAGCTTGCTGACCCTACTGGAAATCAGATAGTGAGATTACTGTGTGTAAAAAAGTTGTCATAAAGTCTTTCAGGAGTGCAAGAAGGGATCATCCAGGAACATTGCTGGGCTTGTATTTTTCTCCACGACCAAAACCTCAGAGTATTAGCCCAAAAGAGAGTCGGAAATTTTGTTTTTAAAATTATCAGAGATACTTTCCTCCCCCTGGTTGCAGAATTTAAGCTATTAATGTATGTGTGATGAGGCAGCCCGGCGGGACATCAGCGTGGGAGATGTGGGGCACACACAGTGCAGCCAAGGTGCACTCTAGCAAGACCAGCCTTCAGCAGCCCTGCCTGGCCTTCCAAGTGCGCTGATGCTCCTGCTTTCCATCCTGTGGTTGTGTCCTGTGTGTCCCCAGCTGAAGAACATGAGTACTGTGTACTGGCGTTGTCGTCTGTTACTGTCAACAAGTTCTTCACCTTCTTATTTAACTTATGTCTTCTTTCCAAGCGAGAATATCCAGGTTTCGGTTGGATCTATTTTAAGGTGAATTAATTAACCACCATAATTATACATTCCCATTTTTTAACTATTTTAATTTATTTTATTCTAACATAGTTTAAAAGTATATTGCGCAACACTAGTAATAACCAGTTTTTCCTCCCCTACAATCCTCTCTCTTCTCATTGCAGGGAAACTTGCCTCCCGATTATCGGATAAGTCTGATAGACATTGGCTTGGTGATAGAGTACCTGATGGGAGGAGCATATCGCTGCAACTACACCCG